ACAGTCTACTTTTAAAGAAGAAGGCCACAGAAGCAAGGGGAGTTGTTCTTTGAACATTATGATTGGCTTATTCGAAAAGGGCTAATACCAATAATTGGCTGGAGAGCTATTGTCAGGTCGGATGAGGTAAGAGGTCATTTGGACCCCGTTTTCCAGGGGACTGAGTCAAAACATATGTGTATGGGTAATTGTTCAGAAACTGAGTCAATATCTTAAAGGTTATCTTGCCCCAATTTCTGGAGAACATACGTGCGTGTGTAGCTGTTAGGTCCTTGGTTCCCAGGGGAGGAGGGTAAGCTGAGAGGGTTCAGAATTGTCAGAAATGGCTTCAGAATTGTCTTAAAGTCTTACAAGTGTTTTGCCTGCATGTATGTCTGTGCACCCTATGTGTGCCTAGTATAGATGGAGGTAAGATGGGGGCATTGGATCTTTTGGAATTGAAGTTACAGATGGTTGTGAGTCACCATACAGATGCTGGGAGTCAAACCCAGGTCTTCTGGAAGATCAGTCAGTACTCTTACTGATGAGCCATCTCTTCAGGTCCCCATCTCATTTCTTATTTATTTATTTATTATGTATACAATATTTTGTCTGCAGGCCAGAAGAGAGCACCAGACCTCATTACAGATGGTTGTGAGCCACCATGTGGTTGCTAGGAATTGAACTCAGGACCTTTGGAAGAACAGGCAATGCTCTTAACCGCTAAGCCATCTCTCCAGCCCCCCCCCCCCCCCAATCCCATTTCTTGTTTTTGAACTAGGGTCTCATGTAGTCCGGGCTGGCCTTGAGCTTCCTACAGAGGATGACCTCGAACTTCTGATCCTGAGTTCTAGGATTACAGATGAGCACCACTCTACCTGATTTACATGGCTATAGATCCAACTCAGGGCATTGTACATGCTAGGCCAGCATGCCTCCAACTGCACTACATACCAGCCCTTCCTTCTGTTCGAGACAGTCTCGTGTAGCCCAGGATGGTCCTCCGAGGATGATCTTGAACTGTGCTGATCCTCTTGCCTCTCCCTCCTGAGTGCTGGGATCACAGGTGTGTGCCACAACAGTTCACTTCCAGTCGTTGCTGTTTGGTTGTTACTGTGCCACTCTGGCTGGCCTAGAACTCACTGTGTAGACTGGTGTGGGAGGTCCTTCTATCTATGTGTTGCTTTTATTGGTTAATGAATAAAGAAAACTGCCTTAGCCTATAGCAAGGTAGAAGTTAGCTAGGTGGGGAAAACTAAAGTGAATGCTGGGAGACAGGAGGCAGAGTCAGGGAGAAGCCATGTAGCTCCGCCAGAGACAGACGTCGCTTGGAATCTTGCCGATAAGCCATAGCCATGTGGCGATACACAGATGAATAGAAATGGATTAAATTAATATGTAAGAGTTAGCTAATAAGAATCTAGAGCTAATGGGCCAAGCAGTGATTTAATTAATACAGTTTCTGTGTGATTATTTCTGGTCTAAGGTAGCCAGGCGGCTGGGAACCAACAAGCAGCCCTTCTTCCAACAGTAGACCAGAGTGGCTGCAGACTTTCAGGAATTCCCTGGCTCCTGTCTCTGGAGTGCTGGGACGACTGACATGTGCCACAAATTGTCTTCTCTCTTAAAGTTAACAACTTGTCTGAAAAGGAAATGTGTACCATCAGAGAGTGGAGCAGACAAGCATCTAATGTTCTATCAGAGCTGGAGTAATCAAGACATTTTTTCTGTCAACGCTGGAGACACAAAAAAGTTCATTTCATCTAAGTGGAACTTAACGCAAGGAAGCATTAAACTAATTTTCAATTTAATTTCAGCTAATAGTTATGTGTCTGTGGCACATTTTAATGATAAACCATGTTCATCAGAACAGGCGGGTGTGGTGGTACATGGTGGCTCAGGCCTTGAATCCCACCATGTCCAACTACATAAATGCAATGACTACTTATCAATGTTGGGATTTAAAAGCAACCTATCAAAATGTTCAAAAGAATGCATGGCAAACTCTTCAGCACAGCTGCCTTCAGCTGGCTTTTCATACTGGTTTGGAGAAAAGAGGCATATTCATTTGTTGGAATTTATTTGGCCTCATGCAGTCTGGCTGGCCTCATGTTCACTATGAGATCTAGATACTCCCAAGTGCAAGGGTGACAGGTGTGGGGATCATGCATTGCTTCCAGTTTCTCTGCAGCTGTCTCTTGTAAGGACCAAATGCTTGAGTTAGGGATGGAGTAGTCAATAAATTCATCTATCGCTCTTAGTGCTTCGTAAACTCTTTCTCCTGGCTAAACTGTGAATTCCATCCAAACCATGGACCATGTCTTCTGCATCTAGTACAGCATATAATAGCTACCCAATAAGTAACAGAATGAATTTATAAATGATCTAATCTAAATACAGTTCCTGGGATTTTGACCATGACCACCAGGTGGCTCTTATTTCCGAAATCTCAGCAATTCCCTTGGAAGTGAAATTGGCTTAGGGGCCCTAAGAAGCTTTAATGAGCCAAAGGATCCTCCTCCCAATGCACACTCATTTATTCTTTTTAATACATGGTCTCTCTACATAGGCCTAGCTGTTCGAGAACTCACTGTATAGACGAGGCTGACTTTGAACTCACAGAGATCCACCTGCCCCTGTTTTCTGAATGTTGGGATTACAAGTATACACAATTGTGATTTCTGCTTTTAAAAAAAATTTAAAGATTTTTATTTTATGTGTTTGGGTGTTTTGCCTGCATATATGTCTGTGCACCACATGTATGCAATGTTCTTAAAGGCTGGGGGCAGGAAATTTATGGGAAAAAAAATCACAGGAAAATTAACATGTATGCATTTAAGTTTTGTCTCTGTGTGTAGAATTACTTCAGAAAAAGAACTACATGATTTTTTGTTTTTCTAGACAGGGTTTCTCTATGTAGTTTCCCTGAAACTCGAGTTACAGATACTTGTGAGCTGCCATGTTGGTGCCGGGAATCAATCCAGGTCCTCGGAAGAGTAGCAGGTGCTCCTAACCACTGAGCCATCTCTCCAGCCCCTCCTCCCATTTTTTTTTTCTGATCTATAGTCTTGCTATGCAGCCCAGGCAATGGTGCATATCTTTAATCCTAGCACGCAGGAGGCAGAGACAGGAGGATCTCTGAGTTCCACAACAGCAGTCTATAAATTGAGTTTCAGAACAGCCAGGGCTGTTACACAGAGAAACCGTTAAAAAAAAAAAAATCATATATCTTCCTGCTTCAGCCTCCCAGAGTGCTGGGATTACAGAAGTGTACCACCACACCTTGCTCTAGTTATCTTTATTATTTTATTTTTTTGTGTATGTGTGCAGGTACAAACCATGGTGTGCAAGTAGAAAAGAGGATGATCCTTGGAAGTCATTTCTCTCCTTTCATCATGTGGTATCCAGGAATCGAACCTTAGTCATGAGAATTGGCAGCAAGCACCTTTATCTGCTGAGTCATCCCATTGGTTCTGCAGCTCATCTTTTAAGTTCAGTCTTCAAACCAAACAGTATCAACGCTGCCAGGCATGCTACTTGAGTACAGCTTCTTTCCTAGACCCAAACTGAGAAATCATAGCTCAAGGCTTAGGGCAACTCCAGTGCAAACAAGAGTTTGTAAAACCCACCCCAGGTTTTTTAGCCAAGGGACTGAGGACAATGGTGGGAGTTTTTTTTTTTTTTTTCTAACCTTTCACAATATCCTCTATTTTAGCCTCCACAGTAGCAGGCATCATTCAGGCATGGGGCGGGGAGTTGCAAGAAAAAGCTATACATTGAGGACTGCTTTGGGAGGATCCCTAAGGCTTCAATCATCTCCCCTTCCTTGTACCTTAGGATCCCACAAGTCAGGTCTGGTTCTCAGACCTGACTCCACAAAAATATACCTTGGGGGAGCTAAAAAGGTCCACACCAGAACTTATGTCCCTGAGTTCTGGTCCAGTTGGCCTGGACGTTGAGTACCCCTAACTCTAAGTTGTTCTGTCTCCAGCACTGATAACCAGTGCCAGACTGTAAAAACGCAGAATCACAGGAAAACTACATGTATGCAGTCAAGTGTTGTCTGTCTCTGTGCGTGTAGGACTACTTCATATAACGAACTGATTGTTTTGTTTTTCTAGACAGCGTTTCTCTGAGTAGTCTGTCTATCCTCAACTCCCTCTGTCTCAGGCTGACCTTGAACTCAGAGATCTGCCTGCCTCTGCCTCCTAGTGCTGGGATTAAAGTCTCGTGCCACTACTGCTTTTTAATTTTTGAGGTCTTAGTATGTAGACCAGGCTGGCCTGGAATGAACTTGCTCAGAGTAAAAACCTATACTGTCACACCCAGCTAAGCTCCCACCTTCACCAGTTCCATCCTTCATTTTCAGAGATGTCACTTAGCATGAACCGATGGCTAGTGCAGTGGTTTCCACGGTGACCAAGTGTGGTCCTTCTCAAGGAGCCTGACTAACAAAACTTGCTCATGCTTACTGTTCTCACTCCCACCAGTCTATGGTGTGCTCCAGAAGCTAAATGAAATGGTGTCATCAGATGTGTGCCTCTTTGTCTTAACCTCTCATTTCTACTCTGATAGGTATCCATGTTTATAGCCCAGAAATACTCCCTTGGATATGAAGTGCAAAGCAGCTCCAGAGACAAAGAGCTTGAGAATCTCTGGCCAGGACCACTGGACACAATTATTTTGTCTTTCCTCTATCATTTGGACAAGAGAAGACTGGCCTAATTTATTGCTTAATCAGTCCTTCAACTGTTGGGAACATCTGGGCAGCAAGCTTTGTGAGCCCTTCTAAACAACACAACAAAAAAAGAGGAAGTGGTCATGAACCAAAGCATAAAACTATCTGCTCCGACTTACTCCACAGATGCCCTACTAGGAAGGATCATAGAAACTCAGATGGTCTCAGGCCACTTCAAGTGGGGACCCCCCTCAAATCCACACCCATCTGTGAACCACGATGAATGATAGCTCCCTCCCCAATCACCATGCAATCCCTTAAATAAGAGACAATGGCACAAGACTGTCATTCACTTTTCCGCATACTTTATTTGTTACAAACATACAATTTTTTAAATATAGACTGTAAAACTCCATTTGCAAAAGTCTGCTATTGGAAGGAGTGCACACCAGCAGGAAGGATTCTTAAACTTTTTATTTCTATGAGTTTTTCTGTCAGTTTTGCTAGTTAGTGGTAAATACGGGACCCGCCATTTTACAGACCTGTCTGAAGCTTCTGGCTGTATTCACATTGCTCTTTGAAGCAGCCCTGCTTGTCTCACAATTCATCAGAATCTGAGCTTCAACCTACAGGCGGTGAGATCACCAGCCCGTCTGGACTCTGCTTTGAACGGTTTTCAGGAAGTGTGGTTTCTGGATGGGTACTGCACTTCATGGATTGTTGAATTGCCCATGCAGCTGTGTTTGTTAAAGTGCATTCTTCTTTTAAAAAATAAGGAATAATCTTTACTCTTTAACCAAGGTACTTAAAAAAATGAACTTTTTGGTCTCTCAGCAGATATTTCCCAAATTGATCCTACCGCTACAAATTTTAGTGTTCTATTTACAAATGTTTATAGGGTTCTGGGTGGAGGGGACCTTATAAAATCAAAGGTGCAGCTTCAATTGAAGCAGAAACCAGCTCTACAAATCCATACACAGGCATACACACTGGTTCATGATGCATAATAAGCATGTTGGTATTTACACAGACTAAAGACATTCCAAACCCTCTTTAGAGTAATTTCCAACCTAAGCTAATTGTACATCTAGAGCAGGAAGCTGTTTCCTGCTCTCAAGATTTGGCTTTAACTCATTCAAATGACTTCTGTAGATCCCAACTAGGACATCAGTCCCAGCTTTGGAGTGAAGAGCCTAGCTGAACAGAGCCACCGGGAGACAGGGCACAAAGTGTGTCATCTGCACTATACTCACAAGACTGGAAAGACATCTGCATGAAGGTTCACAAGAGTAAACGCCTAATACGACTGCTCTAACTTCAGAAAAAAAGTTCAAATACACTGACAATCTCAATTTCAGACATCAAGGTCACGGAAAAGTAAAATATATTTGCCTGCCTCCAAAACGCGCAAAACCACAGGCTCTGTGGAAAGTCAGTCATTGTGACACAGCCAAGTCTCTAGACTTTCTGCCCAACCTCCTGAGCGCTTTGGTTCAATAGTGATGTGGGCTTGGAGAAAAGGGTCTGTTATAAAACCTCCCCCAACACACTGTGCTCAGGGATATAATTCTGCTCATAATCTTGGACTTTCCTGCATCTGTATTTCCCTAAGACAGACATTTAAAAGGGAAGAAACAAACTTCTTGTCACTCTATTTCCAAACACTAAGATTTACTAACCATTGTGATCTTGCAACACAGGGCACAAAATATTTTGCCTTTAAGAAATAATAATTTTGTTGAAAAAGTTAGCACTGAAGAGTTCCTGAAGGTGGGAAAATGGACACACCTGTGCCTTCTGCACTTCACTAGTGGAAACGGAACAGACCTACTGCTTTCTCTCCAGAGCTCTGGACCACATTCCAGAGCACAAACTGATTATTCTTATCCATGCCAGTGGGTAGTAATGTAGTGGACATGAAATTTGATCATAGAACCTCATGTTTATAGTCAAAAATCTTTCTCCAAAGTGTTAGAATCATGAAAATGCTTTAACTTCTAACAAAGTTCTGTTCTCTTTATTAGAACTCCTACTGAAACTACAAATATGGCATTTACTATTTTAACATGGCTCTCTCTACCTATCCCAATTGGAATGTCCAATTCAAGAGACATTTGATTTTTAAATGAAAGTAAAACAGGTGGTTACATGATTACATTGGTGGCTATTTCCTATTTATTAGGAAATATAAAATACATTCATAAACGCCTTAATTTGGGTCAGGAGTACACACAGCAAATGGGAACTACGAGGGTAATAAAAAATCTTTACGGTGTAATTTTATTCTTTTTCCATTTTCCAAATTTAATTTTCAATATTAACTATTCCATTTGTTCACACAAAAATTCATTAAATTCTTCAATAATGAAACTAGGTTCAAATTGTGAGGACTGAAGAAAGTAACTTTAAATAGCAAAGTCAGAGATACCTATAGAGTTTACCATTTATGAGTCTAGCTACCTCTTGAAAGTTCTGCTATAGAATTCATCGTTAACAAGTCTAGTTATCTCTTGAAACTTCTGGGGGCCAACATTTGAAAATAACTTAGGTTTTCTAAAGTAAAAGCAGGGGAAAGGATTATACTTTGTCATTCCCACCTTACATCTGAAATTTCCAACAGGACAGGACATGAACTTTTTTTCTTTTTTCTCTATATTTTAAGGTAAACGTGGCTCTTTTTTTCTTTTTTCTTTTCTATAAACTACCTCTCTCCCTTCCCTAGCCCCCCTCCCCACACCCACCATCCTGTCTACTGAAGGGAGTTGACTCTTTAGGAAGACAGCTAATTGATTTACAGTACTCTAAAACCAACCCTGAAAACAGATAATCTCTTTCACTTACTATAACTTCAGTGCTGTTGTTGACAGAAAAGAAAAAGCTACCTTAAGGCTCAAGGGAAAGCAACTTATTAAATTGTGAATGCAGCATTGTTTACTCTCCCATCCATTGGAAACTAGCAAATGCATTCTAATCAAGAATACAAACTTCCTAACATTAGCAAAGATCTCTATTCTCCTTACATAGAACAATACTCAGAAGTGGATTATCTAGGGGCCTGAGAAACCATGATCCATCACACATGATCCATGTATTTCATGTTCAGAAAGTGCTTTATCTTTGAGAACTACATCAGGGTTAAAAATGGAAATATACAATGCAAGTCACTTGACACCTTTTCAAGTGAAGTAAGTACAAGTGGAAAAGGAGCAAAAAGATGGAGGCTCTGCTCTCTGAACAGGCCTTATGCATGTGACTTTTAGGGTATAGAAATCAAAATTGTCTTAAGAATTAGTAACAGTGGGCTTTTATGCCACTGTATTTTAAAACCTGAGATTGGACATCAAAGCAGTCAACTTTGTTACTCATCAGAGCAATTCTGATACTTCCTAAAAATAGAAGAAAACTCAAATTCAGGGTCAAAGAACATTAACTCTCCTCAATCAAAAACATGATAGTAAGAGTGTTGCAGAACGACCACTCAGCAAACAGGTCATTTCAACACAAGCATAAGTCACTTCTTCCCCTTCTCACTGGTCAAGGCCACACTATTTTCAAATGAATATCTACTGAGAGATCAGTTGTGCATTGGACAAAGTACCATAATTGGGTTAAAAATGAAAACAAAATTTACAGTGAAGAATACTTATGTGCATGACTTACACACTCCAGCCTCTTTACTTCCATCCACCTCAAGAGCAAGGCGGATGCAAATAGTCGCCTATGTGACTGTCCTACACCCCTGTAAAGCCAGTCAAGGTCACATTAACAAAGCATCCTCAGCAACTCTAGTGCCTGAAGTGTGCAGTCATTTACAGACCACTCAATATGAGGGCATTATTATAACCAGCCTCTTTTGCCCACAACCCTGCATTTTCAGGTAAGACAGGATAATTGTTTTGTTTTGAGAAAACCGAAGCTTGAATCTTTTAAAAGACCTGCAATTTACTGCAAAGTGATCCAGAGGTAACAAAGGAAGCAGGAGGCTAATGGCTGCCTGAACCAAAAGCCTCTCAATCATTCTGCAGTAAATACTTATGGAAAGTGACACGACAGTAGCCACGTGTGCTCACAGCTACGGTCATTTGTACCACCTACATGCCTCCAGCAGATACATAGGGTGTCTGGGTTTTTGGTTTGCTTTCGTTTGCTTTTTGGTGCTGTGCAGATTTACGTTTTGTTTTGTGCAGCATATGCACTGAAGAATTTGCTGACAAGAACTGCCGCTAGACTTGCTGAAATGATGTGGAGGGACAATAGAAAACATTAAGAAGTAGTAGGGTCTCTGCATAGATTTTTCCCCCTTCTCTTTGATATTCTTAAAAACGTGTTTTTGTATACAGTAGCCTGAAAAACAAACATTTCAACAATAATTTGAAATGGAGTTTTTGCTCCAACTTCTCAGAAATGTAACTATTTTCATTAGCTGGGATATCTGCCAAATTCAGAAGAAAAAAAATACAACTCTAAATCATAGTAGCATTTCAAAAATCACAACAGAAAAGTTGGTAACTTCCCATAATTTGTACAATGCCATTTTCTGACAGGAGCTACCAAAGACCAATGCCTTCAAAACCTACTATTTATGAGCCGACTCTCCACATTTGCAGACTTCTATTGTCCCTAGTCCCTAGAATGGGGATCAGTGAAATGGCACAGTTAATCCCCACCCTTCTGCTATCTTCCTACAGTGGGAGGGGAGGCCATGGACCACCCACCCGCTGCAGGAGAAATAAACCTTAGAGATTGGTTAAGACTTAAAAACCCACCACTATGACATTTACCACTTAATCTTACAAAGGCAGGTCAAAATTTTAATATAAATTACTTTTGCCAACACATAGCTTATGCATTCTTTGCTCCTTTTTTTGGAGGATTCTCAAATTGGTATCTAAAAATTTACATATGATATATTACTGTTATATGGTCTAATGACTAAGAAAATTTCTCTGGTAACCAAAGCTGATGCCATATATGGTAGTGTTCTTGGCATATACTCTATATGCCTCAGACCACTTCCACATTCTTTCTATTCAGCTAATTATAGCTTAGTAGCCACTGGTGAAGGATTGTGAAGACCCTGTCATTTCTACAGAATAGAAAGGCAAGGCTAGTTACTGCAATTCAGCCAAATAAAAAGAAAAAACAAACAAAAAACAAAAACCAACCCCTTGAAAAGGAGAGGTACTGCACCTTTGCAAAATTGAACTGGCTCACTGCAGCTGAGCAACAGAACCACCACTGAAGCAAGAAAACAAGTTGGTCTATACAGGAATTGTACATGATTTGAAAATGAAAACGTTACAGCAATCAACGAATGGCTGCAACCTTAATTTTCATTGCTGCCTCAGAGTTTGAAACTATAATCAGTTTCTGCAAACCTAATGCTAGCTTCTCAGCTCCTTTACTAAAAGTAGGAATTTGTTCTCCGCAGCAAAGAAACAAACACTCAAAACACATAGGTAAATACAGCAGGACATTATTGAAAACAGCTGCCTTGTAGTACAAAATACAGTACAAGTATACGGATGTCATTAGAACATCAAAAATACTATTGCTCCCATACAATTTAGGAAACATTCTTTGCAACGGAGAAAAATTTAAAAGAAAAGCTTTAAAAAAATCTGTTTAAAAATTCTACTGTGGATGATGAGTAGAGAAATAGTCTGTAAGGGCACCAATGTTTGTGGCTCTCCCATTTTTAAGTCTAAGATCAACAATATTCTGAATCAGTCTAATTTTTTTCAAAGCCTGATTTTATATACACAAGTATTTCCCTCCCTCTCAGCCACAGACACAAAAATGACCTTTTTGTATATTACTTATTTCCCAATAAATACAAAAAGATTGTATAGATTGAATACCAAAATAAGCTAATAAAAGGGATATGCAATAAATTAAAAAGGCAGCTCAAATAAAGGGCAGGCATGCAGTTAAAAAGAAATACTAAGATTGTGGAGGTGGGGTTACTTGCCTCCTGGTTCTTGAGAAGGTGTCACACAAATACCTGAAAAACTTTGGAAAGAACATTAGCTCCCATTCAATTCAAAGTTGCCTATGACATTTCTAGGAATACCTTTTGATGGGGTGGGGTTAACTTGATTAGAAAAATCATTTATACTGAAAATCCATTTAAAATATAGAAGAGGCGATCCTTGAAAACCCCAACTTTTATTCTTGAAAGACAGCTGGATAAACTGGCACATGCCAGTTTGTTGAAATTTCAAGATGGTATAAAAATGCTTCCAGGATAGAGTCAGCATTCACGTTCACTTCAGTTCCATTCACAGATGGATTTCAGCTTCCACCGGGTGCAATGCTTGAATCACTCATCCATCATTTGCCAACTTTGATTGTGAGGTACTGAATACAATGGATCAAGTTCTTAAAAATTTATTTTAAAAGAATAAATGATGCTGGAATTCTGGACCTGAGGATCGTCAGTATTTCAATAAATCCACAGATTAAACTGAAGGTAAATGAAGCCTTCAGTTCCGGTTGCCTCCAACTTCTCTGTGAGGATGTGTATGCCTTTAAAGCTCAGGCTTGTAGCCACACTGTTCCTTTTCGCAGATAGTCAAGTTTTAAGGTTTAAAATGCAGCCAGCCAGTGGCTGTAACAGCCGAATTAGCCATAATTCACTAGCTCATATGGTGGAGCCATAGGGATTCAGCTCTTACTCATGGTAAGCCATTTCTTGGTAATGACCTCCACACTGAAGAGATCAAGGGAAGAACTTTAGTGAGCAGCAACCAACCCACTCAAACAAATCCATCTTGTGCTTTATGCCTGACTTCTTGTGCCTACCTCAGCAATCCCCATTGTAAAATTGCTTTCGTTAAAAAAAAAAAAAGCCAACTTTTAAACTATTTTAGTAATGGATTCTAGTTCAAGCTTTGATATCTGAATTCATCTGCATCCCGGAAAACAATTCTGCAAAGAAAAGACAGGGGCCTTGGTCCAGGTTCCATGCAAAACCATTTTTTTTTTAAAAAAAAAAAAATGGATCCAATTGGTTTCTGAATTCTTCGATAGCTTCTTGAATTCTTAGCTTGCCCTGTCTATGACTGTAAAATTGCATTCCTTTTCATAAACCTGTACCCTCAGAACTGGGTAACTGCAAAGGCCTCTTTCTTCTCAAAGATTCCATTAAGACCTAGATCCAAAATGCTGATTTCGATGGAGGTGACGGGATAGATGGTGCAATAGTGAGGCCTGGAGGGATGCTAAGACCAGGTTACCCAGGTACAACACAAATTCACCTATTACCAATGGACGAGTCTGGGGAACTCGGATGCGGGTTTTGTCCCAGACTTTCAAAGACCTATCCCCTCCAGTGTTATCCTGATGAATTTACGAACCTTGGTTTCAAACAGAAGCTGAGACTCTTGCGCAGGTGAGGAGATGCTGCTGTCTGTCCTCTTTGCAGGTTGCTGGCAGTTCCTTGGAACTTTACTGCTTTTCTCTAATTGTCTGTGACTGTTTTCTTATGGTTATTTCTCTTAACTATATTATTTTAAATTTTGTTTTCTCCGTCGGCGGCCTCCCCTGATCCCTCTCCACTAGCTCACGGGGGACGAGGAGGAAAGGGAACTCTCTAGCCAAGGGGGGGGGGGGGAGATGGTGGTGGGGTTGGGGGAGGCCAGTGCGGGAAGCTGCCCGTTTCAATCCTCATCCACTTCCTCACCCTCGGACTCGTCGCCGCCGCCGCTGCCCCCACCGCGTCGCTCGTAGAGCTTATCCCTCTGTCGCTCCTGGATCTCTTTCATCTCATCCGCGTACCGACAGAAGGCGCCTCCAAACTTGCCCCAGGCCTTGAAGGGCACGGTGATGGCGTTGCGGTAGGACGGCTTCACCTCGCTCACGCGCAGGAACACCCCGTACTTGTTGCAGCCGACGTCGAAGAAGAAGCGCTTGGAGTCCACCGTGATGGAGGTGCCCTCCGGGAGCTCTCCGTACAGGCCGCCCCCCGGGCCGCCGGCGCCGCCTCCCGGGCCGCCGGCCAGCTCGTCATCCTCGCCCCCGTAGTCGTCGATGAGCTTGGCCAGCGCGTCGCGGAACTCGATGAGGCCCTGCGCTGGCAGCGCGATGGTCTGGCCGCTCTGCAGGCCGCCGGGCCCAGGT